CTCCCTAACTTCAGGGGAAAATCCCTACCTGGGGAAACAACCTTTCTCAGAGACCTTGGTTAAAACACATAGTGCCAAGAAGGTGAGCAAACATATTAAGAACAGTATGCCATATATGCCAGGTCCCTTGAAACAGCAAGGATGGACCGGCTCCCGGCAATCCTGATATTCCAAGGTTGTGGATTCCATCCCCATTCAGGGCACTCACAAGATCAACCAATGATTGCATAAATAAGTGGAAGAACAAATCAATGTTTCTCTTTCTCTCTATCCCTTCCTCTGTCTCTCAAATCAATTTTTAAAAAGAAGAAATGCAAATAACCTATATAATTATGAAAAAATATTTAACTCATAGAATTGCAATTAAAAACCATAAGGCACCATTTTCACCATTACAAGATAAATAGAATGTTTACATCAAATAGAGAAATTATCTATTTTTTATGCCATTGATGATTCTGTCAACAATCTTTCTGTAGGATTATTTGGCACTATATTTTTTAAAACTTAAGATTTTATGTATAGTTATATATCTTTTGAGCTATGGTTTTTCCTTCGATGATTGCACCTTAAGAAATAACCATAAATATGAGCAAAAATTTCACTAAAAATATATTCTTTCAGCATATTACACAAAGACCTATAGGGAGATGGTGACTTTCAAGGGCCATTCTTCTCTATGTGTTGGCTTAGCATTTCGCATATGTCCATTTTATGACACCTCCATGTGACAACAGAGAGAGAGAAGATTCAATGCTTCCACTCCAAAATGACATACGCCACTTCAACTCACATTTTATTTGCCAAAGTCAGTGGTCACATCCAATCTCAAAGGACCATAAAGTAAGTCATGTAGTGGGCCTGGAAGCAGAGGGGAATTGGATATTGATGAGTAATAGTATTGCTTACCATGCAGTGGTATTGTTAAGAGTTTAAAATGATAAAATCATTTGTAAAAATTGTGTGTGTATGTGTGTGTGTGTACACATAGATATAGACAGATGTACATATGCATATATAGAGTCAACATCTCTGTTGACTTGCAACATCTCTCAGGCTTGCAATACTGAGAATTAATTTTCATTTTCTCTTTTCCTGCATTTTTAACATTTTCCACAATGAGCAAGTGTTATAATAAAAAAATCAAGTTATAACATTTAAATAAACAGTAACAAACATGTTGGAAATATTTTCTTTTCCTTGGTAAATGTATATTATATGTCTACAACTGTTTGAAGCCCAGAGTTTTGGATCTTTTAAGTAAGCAATGTTCTTTAAATTTTACCCTTTGCCAGTTTTGATGATTTCTATTTCTTTCTGCACTGCTTTGTTCAGGTCCTTAAGCTGAATAAATCATGAAACTTTTGTTTGAGTGGTAGTCTTTAATTTCTATTCCAGTAAGATGGCGCTCAATGTGTGCGATTGAACCATGATTATAGTAGCACTACTCCTCTTAAGAAGACATAGGAAAGGACACATGGAGTTAAGTGTGCTCTGAAGGCATGTGAGCAATTGCCACTGAAGTGATTTAAGATATGACCTTTTCTCTTGTATTCTCAACCACAAGTGTTCTTAAAGGGGAGAAAAAAAGAAAAAAGGAAAAGAGCTTCCTGCATTCTGATTACCATAGGACCTGACCCCATTTTGCTTAGCAAAGAAATTTGAAGTTTGAAATGTAACCCTGGATTCCACTTCATTCTTGCCCCTTAGAATTCAAGTGACTGTGTTGGTAGAGGTGAAAGCCCTGCTTGACTTAGGTGTCCTGTAAGTCCAGCTGAACAGGGCCCTTTCAGAGGCTGTTGGCTATTTCCCTGAGCTTACACAGCCAATCTGCACCCTGTAAGCATGGTGCCTGTGGTATAACATTGAGATTAATGAGTTGAATCTGCTCTAGATGACAGGGTCTCTGGAGTGCATCCAGACCAGCCTACACACAGAACTTCTCATGTGTATAAAGCTGCCTCTTTAGAGAGATATATTTGGATATTCACAGGTTCTGATGAGAAGCTTACTCTCTTTCAGATTTGGGGATCCAGAAGGAGGACTGTATGGTCTAGATTCAGTGATGGCGAACCTATGACACGCGAACTCATTTTTTTTGGTTGATTTTTCTTTGTTAAATGGCATTTAAATATATAAAATAAATATAAAAAATGTAAATCTTTGTTTTACTATGGTTGCAAATATCAAAAAATTTTTATATGTGACACGGCATCAGAGTTAAGTCAGGGTTTTTCAAAATGCTGACACGCTGAGCTCAAAAGATTTGCCATCACTGGTCTAGAAGCTTGCATCTCTTTCACTCCTGGAGAATGTTGCTTATCTGTCTACTGTGAATCTTGATTTTATTAGCTTTTGTTCTGAATCTCTACAATAAACAGACCCTATTTAATTTACCAAACAATATCTGTGCCTGTCAGTTCATCAATCTGAACCAATTATTTCCATTCATCAGTATGGAGGTCATGAAAGAATGGAAAAGAACTTGAGCTCACTTAAACATAAAAATTGGATTTACTTAAGAATACACACAGAGATACCCAAAATATGTGTTCTAACTCTGAGAGAGAGAGAATCAGGATGGTGTTTCTTAGGTCAGGGAACTTAGGACTCCATGTCCAATAAATAGAGTCCTTGGTTCAGTGTAACAAATTCAATTGTATCAGCTGATACCACTCATGGATGGTGTGAGGCAGTTTTCAGGGAAGGGTGATTGTGAATTATCTAGAAAATCACTACATAGAGAGGGCATGCTATTGAGAACTCGTTAGAGGCTCCCATGGTAGGCATACCAGTCTTCATCGCTTCTCAATTCCCTTCCTATGGTGCATGGAGTATTGCATCCATCAGCAGCCATGCAGGTAAGTGAGGCCATGTAATTAGTTCTGGCCAAATGAAGAGTGGGTCAAGTGAAAGATGTCATGTCTGGGTGGAAAAATAAAATTATATAATTATCTAGTTGTGCTCTTCCCTGATGAATCAACCAACAAGGCTGCACAGCATGGTGGCATCTCTAGCAGCCTGGAGTTTGAGGTCATCCCATGGAGAATGGTTGCCCCTGGATAGATACCTGGCTCAGTAGCTAAATTTGCTTCAGTGAGACATACAGCTTTGTGGTATTAACACACTCAGATTTGGGGGTTGTTACTATAGCAAAACCAGTCTATCTTGACTAACTTACTCTGTAAGTCATCTCTAGGCTGCACTGAAGTCTAGCTTTGCAGACTCTTTGATCTGGCTCCTAGTTCAGGCCATTGATAAATGCTGATCACTGCTCTAGTCCGTTCGACACTAGGTCTTCCAAATCACTCAGCCACCAAAGGACTATATTCCATCTCTAAGACCCTTAAACCAAAGAGCTGCTCTGATGAAGTCAGCTGCTGTACCACTCTTCAGATGTGTTCTTTTGTCCTTCAATCTTTATTCTGTAAAGGGTTTATGAGAATGGGTTTTGGCTTCAGATGAGCTTGGGTACAAATCCAACCTCAACTATTTCTAGCCAAGAAAATGGAAGAAATAAGAAAGTTGCTTTATCTCTCTAAAAGTTGTTTCCTTATAGAGATGGCATTAGCATTTACTCATAGACTTGTTGTAAAGGTAAAATGAGATGTTGTGATTAAAGTACCTGGCAGGAAGTGCTGTCACAAAGCTCATGCTCCTTAAATCTGGTTATTATTGGTCTTATCAGCTCTTCCCCAGTTCAGGGTCAGTTTCCAAATCCTTAAGTACTTTCCTTATGAGTCACCTTATGAGTCACCTTATAGCCATGGTCACCTAATTCTGGAAGACATGGGATGACCTGACATCGTATTCCAAAATCTTCATCTACTGGCCTTTTCCTTGGAGTTTAAAGCTTGGGATTTTACCTTCTTAAATAGAGGCTCATTAAAGAAACAGGTGCCAGTGACTTCGTTTCCTATCTCAGTGTATGTGTTCCCAAGCAATCCGTTGTCTAAACAGGAAGTAGGAAAGAATAAGGAATGTGCCTACACCCCTTTGGTTATTGGTTCAGCTGATACTGGTGGGCTATGCTTTGAAGAGTGAATCCTCTTTATTTTCTGCCTCTTATTTTTTTTTAAATACATTTTTATTGATTTCAGAGAGGAAGGAAGAGGGAGGGAGGGAGAGAGAGAGAGAGTAAGAGAGAAATATCCATGATGAGAGAGAATCATGGATTGGCTACCTCCCCCACTGGGGATCCACAACCCAGGCATGTGCCCTTGACCGGAATTGAACCTGGGACCTTTCAGTTCGCAGGCCGATGCTCTATGCACTGAGCTAAACCAGCTAGGGCCTGCCTCTTATTTTTCTTTTTTCCTTTTTTTTTTTCCCAATCAAAACAAACTTTATTAACATATATGTATATGTAAAATGAAATATTTATATAAATCAAGTATGTTCTCAGAATTATAGGAACTAACCCAATGTTTTTCAAGTTCACATAACCTAGAAGTTCCACTTCTAGGTACATACCCAAAAGAAATGGAAACATGTTCACACAAAAAACTTGTACACAATGTTCATAGCAGCGTTATTCATAAGAGCCTCAAACTGGAAACAACCCAAATATTCATCAAGGGATGAATGGGTAAACAAAATGTGGTATGCCCATACACTAGAATATAGCATACATAAAACTCTAAAATGTTATGCTAAGTGAAAGAAGCCAGTCATAAAAGACCAGATATTATGACTGCATTTATGTGAAATGCCCGCCCCCCCCCTCCCCGCCCCCGCCCATAGGCATATCCCTGGTGGCATAACCATACAGAAATCAGATTAGTGACTGCCTGGGGCTAGGGCGGGAGGAAAGGGAGGGGGCACTGGGAAAGGGAGGCAACTGTTAAGGGTTATGGGTTTAAAGTCCTACAATTGGCTCCTCTCTGAGGGGGCGTGGCTAGGCCCTGGGGGCGTGGCTGGACTCTTGGGCGGGAGGAGCCAGCTTAAAGCCTGGCTGAGGCACAGCGGCCCACACTGCGGTGGCTGTTACCTGCGGAGGCATGGAGGAGTGCGCTTGCCTCTGCAGCGTGGGCTCTTCACGGGGATGTCGGTGTCCTCAGAAGCGCCAGCGCCCAGCTGAGATGGCAGCGGCCGACAGCAAGCTGGCCCCAGCAAAAAAGCACATCGAGGGGGATGTGGCAGCGCGGTGCTGTGCGGGGAGTGGAGGAATTGCGAGCCCCATGCCGGCCCCGCACTGCTCGCTGCAGGACCTGCCGGTGGAGATGCTGGTGGAGATCTTCACCTGGGTTCCCGGCACCCACCTGCCCAGCCTGGCCCAGACCTGCACCAAATTCCACCACATCCTGCACATCGACAGCATCTGGAGACGGCGCTGCCAGGAGGAGTTTGGCATTCGTGAAAATTTGCAGAACCTGGAGATGATCGGTATGTCTTATCGGGAAGTCTATGCGAAGCTGTTCCCATACAGAAACATTTTGGGATTGTGGCAGCTAGATAATGAGTACTATAGAACACTAGTGAATGTCGTGGTGGACGGCTTATGCATTACTGGTTGGAAATACAGGCCTTCCCTTCACACCCACGTGGGTGGCCCAATACGTTTCCAGCCCTCGTTCAGAATTCGCCTGACGGAGAGGAAATCAGCCGCGGTGGAGTGCATGGAGGGCCTAGACAGCAGGCCCCACAAGCGCCACGTGCAGATTCAGAAGGACAGGTTCACCACCCGGTGCAAGAACACCGACCACGGAACGGATTTACCCACGTGGCTTAGGGAAGAAGGGGGGCTGGTGCTGGAGGACAGACAGCAGTATAACTGGCTGACCTACCGCCGCCTCTATCTCCCGCCGAGCCACCCGGACGACCTCATCAGGCCTGGCCTCTTCCAATACTACTACGATTCCTTCGGCCTAAAGATTGCCATGCTCAGCTTCCATGGGAAGTATGCCAGGGTCACCAAGATCACGGGAATCTCCAAGAAGACGTTAGAGATCCACCTCATGCGCCGCATCCAGCTGCCAGATGGCGAGATCTTCTGCAACTTCAAAGAGCTCTCCCGTGTGGTCCAGGAGATTGACAAGCAGGTGATCCGGGAGCAGCAGCAGCAGCAGCAAGAAGACGGGACTGAGGAAAGCGAGGGCCATGGCTGGCAGAGCCCTGCCCAGCCCAGCGCCGGGGAGTCTGGGGCTGCAGCTTCGGAGGAGCAGCCTGTCCCGTTTGTTCTGCCTGTGGGCGTGCGCTCCAGTGACCAGAACTACCCCGGAACCTGCAGGATGTGTTTCTATGGCGTGGACACTATTACCTTACCTGGCTTAGCCTACCACGGGCGCTTCCCTGGAGTCTTCATCCTGTTTGATGAGAACCACTTCGGGTTCATCTGGCTGGAGGCGAAATACTTCTTCCTGTGCGGCAGAGTACAGAACACCTTCCAGAATGTGGAGGCACCATCCCCGCAGGCTTTCCTGGAGATGCTCAAGAACATTCAGTCCATGCCCTAACCGGTTTGGCTCAGTGGATAGAGCATCGGCCTGCGGACTGCAAGGTCCCAGGTTCGATTCTGGTCAAGGGCATGTACCTTGGTTTTGGGCACATCCCCAGTAGGGGGTGTGCAGGAGGCAGCTGATCGATGTTTCTCTCTCATTGATGTTTCTAACTCTCTATCTCTCTCCCTTCCTCTCTGTAAAAAGTAAATAAAATATATTTTAAAAAATCAATTGTATAAAAATAAAATAAAAGACATTCATGAGAATGTTTAAAAATTGGACCCCTCGTACATTGCTGGTGGAAATGTAACATAGTGGGGCCACATTGGAAAACGAGAGTCACCAGATGGCCCGGAAGTTCCACTTCTAGGTACATACCCAAAAGAAATGGAAACATGTTCACACAAAACTTGTACACAATATTCATAGCAGCATTATTTATAAGAGCCTCAAACCGAAACAACCCAAATATTCATCAACTGATGAATGGGTAAACAAAATGTGGTATGCCCATACACTAGAATATAGCATACATAAAACTTTAAAATGTTATGCTAAGAAGCCAGTCACTTGTTTTTCTTTAGTTCACCCATCCTGTGTCCCAGCCATTCTGAACATTTATCATTTCCTCCAGAGCCATGCTTTGCTTACCTACCAGCATTCACGCATATGCCTTAGATTTATTTAGATTTGATAATCTCTGGTGCTGGAGTTGTCACTTTACTCTCTAAACATCAGTTTCCTTTCATTCAAAATGAGAATAATAATACCACATCACTGAGTTAAAGTGAGAATCAAATAAGACAATTCATATACAACACTTAGCACAATAAAGGTGGCTATTAATAAAATACTTTCCTATTGCAGGATCATCAGTCAGGGATCCACACTGTAGTTTTTGCATGTGAACAATTGTCTTCATTTAGCTCTGGATCATACTCCATTTTCAGTTTTGAAATCCTGGAGAACCCATCTTTGAATCGTAATTTCTATATTTCCTGTCCCTTATAGAAGGACCTTTTCTTCCAATAAACTATTTGAGTAGCCATCACACTTATGGAATATATCAATTTTTAGTGCACATATTGATATTTTTAAATTCCTTATTATGAACTAAGTTATCAGGTCCTTAATTATAGGGCCATGTCTTAAAGCCTTTTTATCTCTACAGTTTCTTAAAAGAACACGAGCTCAGTCTAGCTGGCGTGGCTCAGTGGTTGAGTGTCAACTTATGAACCAGTAGGTCATGGTTTGATTGCCAGTCAGAGCACATGCCTGGGTTGTGGGGTTCAATTCTCAGTGGGGGGTGTGCAGGAGACAGCCAATCAACGATTATCGTTCACCATTGATCTTTCTACCTCTTTCTCCTTTCTTTTCTGAAATTAATAAAAATATATTTTTAAAAAATTGAAAAGAAAGAACAAGAGCTCAGATAAATCTGTTTCTGATGGTGATGACAATTGCTTTCCCTTGACCATGACTTTAAATTTCCCAAGGTAATGCCCTGATTTTCAAACTTTTATTTCAGCCATGAAACCCTATTGGCAATACAATATTACAGAACTGCAGTAGATATTACAGTTCATAGCTGAGCTACTCTCCATGAAGTAGGGGAGGGGCTCAGAGTGGTTCACTTTCCATCTCTCCATCCCGTATTCACAGAGTGACAGGACTCTAGGAGTCAGAGGAGCTGGCATGGAGTCTTCCTCAAAGACAAGGCAGGTGAAGATCTTGGTCATGTCACTTTAACCATGGTGACCTTCAGCTACCTCATCTCCAAAACAGAGAATTGTTTGAAAAATGGAAGTAAGAAGGCAACACAAACATATTGGCATTAATGCTGTTTCTTTACATTTTAGAGTGAGCGAAGCTCTCTGCGGTCCTATATCCTTTGTGCTCAAATGTGGTGTGGCATGAGAAAGATCCAGGGTCTAAAACCAAGGTAACCATGAGAAAGAAAAATTGACTGTGTCCTGATTTAAAAAAAAAAATCTCGTTGGGTAGAAGGCATAGGCTTGGAAGAGCTAGTCTAGCTTCAAGTGTAGTAGAAAGGAGAGGAGAGGATTGGGGACATCATTTCTACAAGTCTAGGAATTGGCCTACACACCTTCCTTCTCTTCCTCTACCCCCTAGTCCTCTCCCACATTCTCCTTTTCTTCTCATTTCCCCCATTCCCATTTTAAAAGGGCTCCTATACTGACCTTAGGGAAGGGCAGATGACTAACACAGGATAACATTCCTGGAATATTTCTCAAGTATAAATGACTCAATTTCAGGTATTTTCATATATTTAGAAATACCAAAACCAGGTGTTGCCTCATCAACATAGAGCTGCCCATAGGGACAGAATTGTTGTGAAAAAACAATGGGAAGATGACCAGGTTTTTTAAATAGTATGGCCCTGCATGGGTGTAAGTCACCAGCAAAGAATCTTGTGAAGGTTTGAATTTGCTTTTTTCCTCCTATCTGGCTCACCATGCTTTCTCAGGCTGGATGCTGAATAGTAAGCTAATGTCCTTGTCATCTCCTTCAGGGACAATGTTTGATAGAGCCAGGGCTCCCCGATGGTGGCCTGGAGCATTCTCCTCCACCCATTTTCCTGAACGCTCACAGAGCAGGAAAAGCATGTTCTATCTTATTAGATTTCAGAGATGTGGACATGGTACAATATTCCTGATTCAAAATTGTCAGCTAAAAAGAGAGGACTAAAGTATTGGGTAAGTAATTTTGAAAAGATATTGAGTGAAAAGGGAATAAGATAGTTGCAAGGGCTTTGATCAGGAAGGCCGCTGTATTTCTTACCCATTATTCTTATTAAAAATGAATTTATTACACCTCTTTATATTCCCAATGAGAAGGTCATTGACATGCCTGGTATGAATGGAACCAGCTCAGGGTTTTTCTGAGTCAGGCAAAGAGAAAAAGGTACAGAGGGAGGTGGGGGAGGACTGCTGTTTACATTTGGAGAAAAATAATTTAATACCTTGATATACCATGTAAATGGGCAAAAGAAATAAATGAAAAAGTCACACCAGAGAAAATTTAAATAGCAAACACACTAACAAGTGTTCATTGTGCTGGGCTGCGTATCTGGCGCTTTGGCTAGACGGGTCATGCTGTGCTGTCTGTTACTAAAACACATAGATAGGAAGGTACTGACATCAGGTCAGGCCTTGAGATATGGTCTCATGGCCCCTTCCCAGCACGCAGGCCTTCTTTCTCAGAAGTCCTGGAAGTCTCATTCTAAATTTGGGAGACAAAGGACTGGAAAAAGTATAAATAAAGAGAGTTTCCTCCATATTGGGGGGCCTAGAATTTGAAAGACACATTTTTCTCTGGGCCTCCACAAAATTTAATAATAAAATGTAACTTCTGCAGTAGGCACTGCAGTTCAGCCTCTCTTCGGCAGGGTGCTGTAACTGTAGTCGCTGGCCAGCTTAATAAAGGATCTTAAGTTTAAATTCTGAGTCGGTGGTCTATCTCGCTGAGTGAACCCATCACATTCATCTTGTCTTATGTAGTTCACACAGCTGTGGGCATGAAATAGTGAAACTATAAACTCTTAAACTGTGCAGGTGGGTAGGATTTTTAGTAATGTTTCTGGGGAAGTACTCTTGGGATCCACATTTCTACCCAATTCAGGTTCATTTGGGAGTTACCCTTCCTACCTTTTTTTTGGAATTACTCTCCTCTGGAATCTCCCACTGTTTGGAACTGGTTTGTCACTTGGAACTCTCCTTCTTTGCAAATAAACTCTGCAGTAATAACAGTTCTCATTTGGGGTAGGGGGGTACACATCAGTCACCAGGCATTTCTCTAAGCATTCCTGTATTAATTTGATCATTACTATCACCCTACCATATAGGTCTTCTCCTTCTCCATCTTCTTCTCCTATAGGTAAGGAAACTGAAGCATACAGAGCAAGTAGTTTGCCCAAGTAACAGAGCTGGGAAATGCCTGAGCTGGAAATCAAAACAAGGCAGGCTGACTTTGTATCCCATATTCTATCTTTACATATTTATCTCTTTACCTTTTCACTGAAGCCTCTTTCTTCCTTCTTAACTCAACTTCCCCCATGGCATAAAACACCTATCTAGGAATGCCCCCAGGGAATGATTCAGTGGTCAAATATTAGTACAAATGAAAACATTTGGATAAAACACTTTTCTACTCCACAGGATTTCCTGAAATTTTTTAGCTAGTAACATGATTCTTTTGCAAGAGGGTATATCATGCAGTATATTTCAAACTTATCTGATCAGCGAACCTTTTATTTGATATTATTTGGCTGAGCTTCTTTAACACCTGGCGGAGGTACTGTTGTGCAGGACACAACTAGGGACACTGTTTTACCTAAATAGCAGCTGGACCTGAGCAGATACTTACTTCCCCTTTGGCTGGAGGCTGAGTTTTCTCTCACACTTCACATCTCATGGAGATGCAGGCTTAGGGGAAGTTCTCCTAGCTGTTGCCAACCCATTGCTCTTTGATCTGCATGATAATGAAAGCCCTCTTCCTTTGAGGCTAATGACATTCATCCATCCCACGGTTACTACTTCTCATTGCTTTTATTTGCTTAACTCTTGACCTCTTCCCTTCTTCGCTGAAGACTTTAGCAATTGCAGAGCTATTTTCCTCTCCACCCCAATTCCTCCAACTGTCATGGGCAACATCTATGTAGTTGAACCACCCAAGAGCCAGACCTTGAAACTCCTTTTCTCTGACTACCCATGACTCTTACTCCCCTTCAATCACCTACATCACTTGGTAATGGTTATTGCCAAGAATCCACCATCAATAAGATGTAAACTTCTGTATCCCACAATGACCCAAATTTCCCTCCTTCTAGCTAACTTCCTTCTTTACAAATCTTCTGATTCTTCACCACATCAAGACCACTAAACTCCCAAGCTTCCCTTTACAACATGGCCATTGCCCCGTTTCTAATGCTTCCCTTTCTACCCTGTCCAGTCTAGATTCCTCTGTGGTGCACAACCACAGACCTATTGCTGGTA